CAAATCCCCTACTGAGAAAACCAAGTTTTTCTAATGTGAGTTAGCCCAATAGTCCTGTTTTTGTTTCATCTTATCCATCTTCCCTATCGTGTTAAAAGGAAAATTATTTTACTTTATAACTAATTTTACAATTCTTTTTCTTTTACCAAACTCCTACTGTATATACTTTAGTGTTCAGAACTCCAATGCACACACTCACATTTGACCTTTCCCTTGAGTTCCATTATTCTTGTCCTATTCTGTTATAGTCTTCCAATAAAAAAAGAAAATACTGAGAATTATAATTAAGATATAAATCCACTGTCAATCTGTATTTTCTCATGAGGGTCAGCTTATTTCATAAGGGAGCTGAAGATCTGTCTGCTTTCCTAGAAAGAACATATTAAACAAATTTAGAAAATAGTCTGCCTTAAAATTTTAACAGAATTAAATTCAGACTGAGATTTTCTTAAAAGAGCAATTATTTATAAAACATTTTTAAGAAAAATGTCTTCTAATCTTCATCCTTTAGTCATTTACTTTCTAAATTGTCCTTAGCAAACTTAACTTTCCCTCAATGAACTTACACTGACTTTTTTCGGCTGGTCAAAGAGTATCTTCACATAACTGGCATTTGATAATACCCTATGCATAGAAACTAATGTTTAAAGTAATTTTAGACAGCTAAAAGAAAAAAAAACTTTAGTCAAAAAGCTCAAAAAATAGTTTGTGAATAAAAAATAAGAGCAGATAATCAACAGAGAAGTTGTACAAGATTACTTAAGATTAAATGGATTTGGCTAGCCAAACAGTTACTATAGGACAATCCAAACTCAAATGGTCTGAGGAAATTCTATGAGAAAAAAACACAGACATTTCAAAAGGTATTACATAAACTATTCCACTACTTAATAATTAGGAATGACATGGCTCCCTTCTAACAAAAGTATGAAGGCAGACCAAAGTGGCATGCCAAAAAGCAGGGCAAACAGGGCAGCAAACTCAGACTGTTTACGAAGCAGAGAGGGCCCTCAACCATGCACTGGTATTTTGATAGCAGTCTCCACCATAAAGTCTTCTTCAACTACAATACGAAGGAAAATAACATATATAATGATGTCAAATTACCTGTTTGGAAACTAGTTTTTGCAGCTCAGAAACAGCTCTTTTTCTGCTTCACACTTCAAAGCTGTTGTCTGCTTTTAAGCAAAAAATAAAAATAAAAATGACTTTAGTAAATTCTTTACACTGTGAAGTACAGAATAACAAATACTATATTTATACCTAAAATACATTTAGAAAATCAACAGAAAAGAGAAATCCAATTTGCCAATTTAAGTTATTTTAATCCTTTTGGAAAACAATGTGATATACGCAAATGTTTAAATCCTCCAAATTGGTAAGATCCCCCCCAAACAACAATGCCATACCTTAACGTCTACTCTGGAATATAACGAAAAGTGGTTAACCCTAATTATCATGAAGTGCCAAGTACACTTCAGACTGATAAGTCATTAACTTTCAGTCAAACTATTCCTGAATTTTGTGTATCCAAGAAAGAAAAAAAGGTTTCTTTATTTAAAAGTTAGCTTTTAAATAAAGTAACCTTGTTGTTACAAAAACACAAGGTTTATCTTCAGTTCGAAAACTCAGTGTTTTAATGGCTTCCAGTGGCTCTCACTGGGAAGGTGAGAGGGAAAAAGGAAAGGAGCAGGTGCACCCCGAGCTCTACAACACCCATCTCCATAACCAGAGAATACCAGAAGGCAGGGTGATGGGAGCGCCCAGAAAGCCCGCTCCTTCCAGCGCCCAAGCACCATCCGTCACCCGTAGGGCAGGCGACACAGACCTCGAACCCATGACACACACACAGCGTGTTTTCAGACAAGGCGCACACACACACACACAGTGTGTTTTCACACAAGGTACACACACACTGTGTTTTCAGACAAGGAGCACACACACACACACACACACAGCGTGTTCTCAGACAAGGCGCGCGCACACACACACACACACACAGTGTTTTCAGACAAGGCATACACACACACAGCGTGTTTTCAGACAAGGTACACACACACACAGTGTGTTTTCAGACAAGGTACACACTGTGTTTTCAGACAAGGAGCACGCACACACACACACAGCGTGTTTTCAGACAAAAGCACACACACAGTGTGTTTTCAGACAAGGCACACACACACATACAGCGTGTTTTCAGACAAGGCACACACACACACAGCGTGTTTTCAGACACGGCACACACACACACAGTGTGTTTTCAGACAAGGCACACACACACAGCGTGTTTTCAGACACGGCACACACACACACAGGGTGTTTTCAGACAAGGCACACACACACATACAGCGTGTTTTCAGACAAGGCACNNGCGCGGCGTTTTCAGGCAAGGCGAGCTCCCGAGTGGGGCGCGGGATGGGAAGTTCGGAGGACCCGCCTCCCCAGCGGGGCCTGGCTACACCCAATTCCCACCCGTGACTGCGAAGCGAGCCGTGTTTGCCGAATCGCACTGACGTTCAGTTGCCCTCATCCGGGGCCCATTCGAACCGGCCTGCAGTGAGGGCCGGCGAAGGGGAGCCGCGGGAGGGGGGAAGAGGCCTGAAGTCAGCGCTCCCCGCGCGGCAATCAGGCTGAAAGCACCTCTTCGCCAGAGTCGGGGAAGCCTCCCGCGGCCCTTCTGCTCCACGACCACCCGGGACGACAGAAGCCGCGCCGCTCACGGACCGGCCCCAAAGCCGCGCCGCTCCGCACCCGCCCTTCTCCATCCCAAGTTCTGGACGCCGCGCCCCACAGAATGGAATCTGGGGACGGGCCGAAGGGGGCGCGAGGACGGCGACTACGGCCCCCGAGGCCCCTAGTTATGGAGAACTAGACCCCCTGCCTCTGGCAACCCAACCACAGCCCCGGCTCCGCTCCCTCCGCTCCAGAGACATTCCTGGGGCAGCCGGGACGCAGGGCGGCCTCCTCCCGCGGCCGGGAAAGAAAGGGGCGGGGAGGCGAGAAAGGGCTCCGCCGCCGCTAACGCGCCCCCAGATGCTCACCCGGAGATGGCGTCGGCCGGTCGGGCGAGGGGGCGGACTGTCGGCCCAGGCGACCCGAAGCAGGCAGCCAGCGGAGCCAGGAGCCCACAGAGAGGCGTGGGCCCGAACCCAGGCCCCACGGGGTCAAGTGCCCCAGAGCCGTTGCGCTCCCGCCCCTGGCGCCGCGCTGCCCTCGGTTGCCAAGGGCTAGAGACGCGCAGGCATTACCTGTAAACCGAGCGGCCGCTCCTGCCAAGGGCGGAGTAACGGTCAGCCCCCCACGACCCGCCACCGACCGCGTCCTCCCCTAGAGACCGCAGCAGGGCGAGTCCACAAGTCCCCCGGCTGCCGCGGGCCCAATGGCCGCCTCCCCTATCGCAGCCAGTCGGCGCCAACCGCCGCAGCCACCGCCATCTTAGGATCTCATTGTGGTGGGAGAAGAGGGGCGGGGGGACTGCAGAGGGGGCTACGCGCTGTGCGACGTGCGCCGTCTCCGCGGCAACGGCCGCGCGCCGCGAGCACTCGCCGGGGCCGGAGCCGCAGTGCGCTCGGCACGCTAGAGTGCAGTCATGTGACCGGCCCGAGTCTCTGGTATCTCCTCCGGCTCCTCGGCGCCGAGTACGCCAACGAGCGACCAGAGACTACATATCCCAGAATGCCACTGGACCCGGGTTAGAAGGGCGAGGAATACAAATCCCAGCATGCCGTGCGCTTTCCGGCGCAGCTCGCGGAACTTGGGACTCGAGGCCAGTGCGGAAGTGGGTGGCCCACCCTCGGCAGCTGGAGAAGGAGCGGAGGCGCCTTGGTGGTTTTCCGTGGGGGTGTCAGCTCCGGACCTCGCCGGATGGAGGAGGAAAGCCCAAGCCCGGGATCGCTCTTGTAGCCCCTGTCCACCCTCATCCGGGTCACGAAGGGACGGAACAGAAGGGCCTCGACAGTCCAGTCCTCGGTTTACGCGGGAGGAGACGAGCCCCCGGGAGTTCACCGGCGAAAGCCATGTAGTTAGTGGGGGAACCGTAAATATTAATCATGAATGCCACCTTGGATGAATGTCTTCTACTTTTTTTTTTTTTAGAAGAACCAGATGATTTACATCTGAACTTAATATTGAGAAATTTTCTCTAATAAAACGACACTCTGAATTCTCTTAATTTTCACTTCTCTCAGCAGCAACTTTGTTAAAGGTTAGTCAAGTTCTCTCGTAAAAACAAACCAAAAAATGCGACGGAGGGACAATCAAGGCTTTCGGTGTGCCTACCTGAAAAGCCAAAACCGGTCCGTTTTCCTTGAGTGCAAGGGCCTCTGGCTTTCGGCGGTTTGCGTCGTGGGGTGTTTGTTTCAGTAGAATAGGGAGGAATGGGGGCGCCCGGGCTCCGCCAGCAGCGCGTTCTCG